GTATAGCCTTGCACCCTGAGGGGTGTGTCTTAGGGTTTCTATTGTTATGATAAAACACCAGGACCAAAGACAACTCAAGGTGGAAAGGGTTAATTTCATCTTAGACATCTGGGTATCAGTGGATCACTGATGGGCAGAAACTGTCACAGAGGTCATGGAGGAACGCTGTTTACCAGCTTGCTTCCTGTGGCTTGCCCAGCCTGCTTTCTTATGGCATTCATGGCCACTTGCCCAGGGCTGGGACCACCCATAGTAATCTAGGTCCTCCCACATCAATCAAGAAACTTCACCACAGGCTCTTTCATGGGCAGTCTGGTGGAGACATTTTCTTAGTTGAATTTCTCTCTTCTCAAATGACTCTGGCTTGTGCTTTGTTGGCATGAAACTAGCCAGCGTAGGGTGGTTCACAGTTGCATTTAATTCTCTAGTGGATCCCACACCATCTTCTGCCCTCCTTGGGCAACTATATTCACAGACACACACACACACACACACACACACACACACACACACACACACACACACCATGCACACACACACATGCAAATGAAAGTAAAACTTAAAAAGAAAAAAAAACAACCTAATACTGAATATTTATCAAGCAGGGGAGCAAAACCAGGGAGTCTTGGGTCATAGCGTGTTCTTGCGTCACAAGATGGCTTTATAACCCCATAAATCTTTGTTGTAATCTACTTTAGGCTTTTGAAATCATTTTCAGATACATTGGGTAAGAAGAGGGCTGAGACTTTCTTTTAAATTGTTTTTTGGACAGGCTCTCATTCTCACTATGAAGCCCTGGTTGGCCTACAACTCAGAGATTCACCTGCTTCTGCCTCCTGAGTGCTGGAATTGAAGGTGTGTGAGCCATCCCATCCAGCCGTTCTTTTTAGGCTTAGTACACCAATTGCTTATAATTTTCTTTCCACAGCAAAATAACTTTGCATTTATCCATAAATGTATTTTCATTACTTACCAAGGTCTGAGAAATTACTGTAGGGAAAAGAACATGTGTAGGTACTGAGGAATGTGGACGACATGAGAGATATTCCCACTGAGGTGACTGGCATATGCTGTGGATGATTGATTGGTAAATAAAGTGTTGATTGGCCAGTAGCCAGGCAGGAAGTATAGGTGGGACAAGGAGAGAGGAGAATTCTGGGAAGTGGAAGGCTGAGGCAGAGAGATGCTGCCAGCCACTGCCAGCCACTGCCATGAGAAGCATGATGTAAGATACCGACCGGTAAGCCATGAGCCATGTGGCAAGGTATAGATTTATAGAAATGGGTTGATTTAAGATATAAGAACTAGACAGCAAGAAGCCTGCCACGGCCATACAGTTTATAAGTAAGATAAGTCTCTGTGTGTTTGTTTGGGTCTGAGTGGCTGTGGGACTGGCAGGCGAGAGAGATTTGTCCTGACCGTGGGCCAGGCTGGATCAGGGAATCTTCAGCTACAGGTATACTCCTCAGCACCTTTTATGGTCAGTCTCAGCTGCTGGGGTGGGGTGGGAGCAGGTCCAGGTGGAGGGGAGACCAGCACAGTTTTCACATCTCCTCAGCTGTGTGCTAAGGCTTGGTGCTTTTGCCTTCAGGCTTTGCTGAAAGGCTTTAGACTGTATTGAGCTCTCATTTACGGGTAAGAATGAAATGCATAGGCGATACCTCCTCCACATAGAGCCCTCTGCTAATCAGAGCACAGGGAGTTAATCCGAGATTCAGCCTCATGTCCTCCTGAAGACCCCCAAGGACCCTTTGGTGCTGGGTCCCACTGTAAAGACCTTTGTGCCTTGTCTCTAGATCAACTTTTCTATTTTTACCTTCCCAGTTCCTTCGCTCATGCCTGGCCCCCCTTCCAAACTAATTTACCTTCGTCTTCGTCTGTGTCTTTATCTCAGGCTCACTGCTGAGATGGCATTCCCTACCACTTTAGTTGTAGTAAGCATCAGGAAGGTGGGGAGGGGCTCTATAGTGAGGAGATAGACTATGGGTTTAGTGGAATCTTGAAGTCTCTTTCCACTTGTAATTTCTGATGCCCCTGCCCCTCCCCTCTCAAGGCATGACAGTTATCACAAGTGGAGGAGGACTTGTGAGTTTCATTTGGACCATCTCTGAAGTCATTCAAGGCTTCTCGCTGCTTTCCGCTCAGCCTATCCACAGACGTCTCTGGCCACAGTGAAAGTATGATCATCTCTCAGAGAATCCCACTCCATGGCCAGAACTCAGTGCCCCCTTCAGCCAATCACTCTGGGCAGAGACAAGGGTAAGTTTGCTCTAATGGAGATAACAGAACCCACTGGGCTTTCTCCTTGACCTCAGTTCTTTAAATCAAAGACTCACACATCATTGAGACCAGCACCACTAACCCATGCTATGTGAAAGCCTGGTGATATGCAACGTCTACACAAGGAGCCGACTTGAGTGACAGTGAGTTCCCCTTAAGCATCACTCTAGATATCTATGTGTCCTGGAGGAATCTCTTCCAAGAGATGTGTTGAGTGAATTTAGGGCCGTGCTGACACCAGTATCTCCTGTGATCTGCTGGATGAAGCTCGTGCAGATGCCAGCTGAGGCAGATGGATGGCTGTGAAAAGGCAGTAAAGCATCCTCCAGCTGCCCCCCAGGAACACACTTGCACTTGTGTGATGAAGGAGACAAATGTCTCACGGAGCAAAGCCAACCCAGTGGAGAAACCACTAGCCTGCGTGTCTATGTGGTGGCTCGAGTTTCATTCCCAGTAAATCCAGGGGATGAAATAATGTCATTATTTCATTTCACAAGGTATAAGCTGCTAAAATTAATTAGATTATCTTGAAAATGGTTTTGGTCTGAGAACAAGCCTGTATCACAGTATCAGTATGTTGTGGCTTTATGCCTCTTGCATCACCTAAGCCTTCCCTTTTCTTCCTCTTCCTCCCCCATGTCCTCTTCCTCTTCTTCCTCCTCTGCCTCCTCCTCCTCCTTCTCTCCCCCCCACCCCACCCCATCATTCTTCTTTTTGGTGTGCATGCATACACATGTGTGCAGGCCCGAGGTGAACCACAGGCATGGTCCTCAGGTGTTTTTAGACTGACATGGTTCATCTTGTTTTTAGACTTTGGGTTTCTTGTTCGCCCAATTCAGCTAATCTGACTGGCCAGCATGCCCCAGGAGTCCTCCCATCTTGGCCTCCCCAATGCTGGGGGTCGTACTCAGGTCCTCATGTTTGCATGGCAAGTACTTTCCCAACTAAGCTTCCAGCCCGAATCCCTTTTTATAGATGCTCTTCTGTCTCTCCTCGCCATTTTTAAAGGCAGCTCACCGGACACAGGGTCCTGTTGCTTTTGGCTCTTGGGAAGGTGGTGCATTCTGCCCCCTTGTGGTGATCCATGCGATTGCTTCTAAGGCATCAGTTCTTCATTTCTGGAGAAGAGCATTTTGATGGCCATTGGAAAAGCTTTACAGTTCTTGGACCATCATTGCCAACAACAGTTTTCAAGACAGTGACTGATGTGAGGTAGGCATGACATATGAGCAACTCAGCAGGCTGACCATGTCACATGTAAGGCAAGAATCTCCATTTTGTTGTTGTTGTTTATTTGCTTGTTTATGAGACAGAATCATACTATGTTGGCCAGACAGACATTGAACTCACTCTGTAGACCAAGCTGGCTTCACACTCACAGAGATCACCTGCTTCTGCCTGCAATTCTGGGATTAAATGTGTGGGCAACCACGCTTGACCGGAGTATTGATTCTTTTGGTGAAGGTGGTCTCTGACATGGCAGTGTTTTCAGGTGCCCTGAGTGATTTCTGAGCCAAATAGATTTGGTCCTCCCTGATCTGAAAGCAGACTGTGACATGGGTGCAAATGAATTGCCACTCATGATAGTTCCGTGTGTGGAAATATGGCCAGAGTCAAAGCAAAATTTCTACTGCAATTAAAATTAAAGTCAAGAAAGACTTCACTCTAGGCACATGTAATAGGAGAAAGGTCAGGACTGGGTTTAATCTCAGTTCTTCTCAAACACAAGTGTGGAATATTACTTTAAGTAGGCAAAGAGGTCTCACGTTTGTTTATCCTGCATTTATTGAATTATGTAGAGGTATGATACTTTTGTTTATGCTGCATTTGTCTAACAATATAATTATGTAAAGATGTGTTGCTGTTTCACTGTGCCTGCCTAACGCACCTGATTGGTCTAATAAAAAGCTGAATGGCCAATAGGTAGGCAGGGGAGGAATCGGTGGGGCTGGTGGGCAAAAAAAATAAGTAGGAGGAGAAATCTAGGTTTGAAAGTAGAGAGGAGGAGGAGGAGAGGAGGAGGGAGAAAGAGAGGAGATGCTCAGAGCCAGCCAGGCAGCCACCAGTCAGCAGACACGGAATAGGACTTATAGAAAGAAGGGTAAAAAGCACCGAGGTAAAACATAGATGAAGAGAAACAGATTAAAGTAAGAGTGAAGATAAGGCTGAGTCATCATAACTAATAAGAAGTCTCCCTGTCATGATTTGGAAGTTGGTTGATGGTCCAAAAGAAAAAGCCTGGTACATACAAGTGAGACAGTCTATGAAAGTGGAAAGGATCACGGACCATCACTTTGACTTTGCCCAAGGGGAAAACAAACCTCAGGTCTTTCTGGCAGGGAGGATGTTTTACTTCAGGTGATTGAAGGCAAGGAGGTTATCCTCTTAACTTCTTTAGGGATCCAGCTGAGTGGAGGGCTCTCAGGTCCTTGGGAAGCAGAGCCTGAGGTGGTAAAACTGAGAATAAGCTTGTAAAAGAAATATCTACCCCCCCAAAAGCAGAGGAGAAACTTAACTATGCCCTGTTTCTAAGCCAAATGCTCTGGAAAGGGGGAGAAGATGACCTCTGGAATTTAGTCTTTTTTTGTGTCCTATGAGATTCGAGAAGTTGACTACCTTGCCTCGAAGAACCGGCAGGTTGCCCTAGCAACACGTACCTTCCTACTGTCACGGCTATGATGCTATAATGAGTAGAATGTTCTATAATGATTGTGTTCAGGGGCTGCAGAGATGGTTTTCTGAGCATGGAGCAACTCAAGGCCAACCTTTCCCAGGGGCAGTTTGAGAGAACGCTTTAGAGTAGCTTGGAAATAGGTTGTCTTGGTGGCTTCTCTCTGACTGCCAACTGCTCATCAGCTCCCGGGTCACTGTGAGAGTGGACTGACATTTTCTCTGGGTACCTCTTTCTTCATTTTGGCCTTGTGTCTGTGCGACCAGAGCCCATTGTCTCTCAGGAAGGACACCTGAGTTATGGAAGCCCAACAGTTTTTGTGTGAACTGTAAATAACAATGGAAAGGATCTGGGGTATTTCATGGAGTGTCTATAAGATTTTTGCTCCCTGGAGGAACAAGTGGGAATTTTGTGGGAGAGCCTTCCAAGGCGCATTGAAGCAGATCACACCCCTTCAGTTCACCTGCTAAGAGGACAAAGGTCAGCAGCAACAGGTGACCATCATTCTGGAAAGTGCCTAGCAGGAATGAGGATAGTCTAGAAACACATGTGTCTCTCCCCTTAGCAATCAAACTACTGAAATAATGAACCACAAGAAGTTGGAATTTCCTTGAGTCTCTATATGAAGAGGCTTTTCTGTGTCCTGCCCTGTCCCAGAGCAGGCTTCCAAATAATCACTCAGAGGCTTATATTAATTATAAATGCTTGGCCAGGAGCTCAGGTTTATTACTAACTAGCTCTTACACTTAAATTAATCCATAATTCTTAGGTATGTTTAGCCATGTGGCTTGGTACCTTTTCTCAATATGGCATTTTCATCTTGCTTCCTCTGTGCCTGGCGGGCGACTTCTGACTCCGCCCTTCCTCTTCTCAGAATTCTCCCTGCCTACACTTCCTGCCTGGCTACTAGCCAATCAGCATTTTATTAAGTCAATTCAAGTGACAAATCTTTTACAGTATACAAGAGCATTATCCTACAGTAAGTGTCTATAAGAGATTGGTATCAGCTCAGGACCCCAAGACTAAGTTCTCAGGATAAAGGAGATTTATTTGCCCCAGAGGGACAGAGGGCAGGAAATAAGAGACAAAGATGGGAGATAGAGGATGAGGGAGAAGGGGATGGGAACAAGGGAAAGGGGGAAGGAGTATTTGCCCTGGAGGGGCAAAGGACTGCCTCTGGATAGAGAGGAGACAGAGGAGGCCCATAGGAAAATGGTGGTTTATAAAGGTAAAGGGGGAAACATTCTAATGAGGTGTTCAGTTTTAATTGGGTATGTTAATTAGGTGAATCAAAGGGGTTTTTGATTGCTGGACTTCAATACTTCTATAGCTGTACCTTGGTAGTCAGCCTCAGGAAGAGGAAATTCCCCAATAAGGGAACATACCTTGGTGGCTAGCTTTAGGAATGTCATCTAGTGGTTTTTAGCAAGGCAGAGGGAATGGGGAGAAGGGCAAGGCCTGCCTGAGCCATGCTGGCCCTGCTCAAGCTGGCCAGAGTCACTTCAGTCTCACACTGGTAGAAGGAAGGGGCTGAACCTTGGTAGGGGAGGAGACAGCAACAGGGGGTGAGGTGGGCCTTATCTCCTCGAATAAGAATTCTGACAACTTGTCTGACCACCTTTCAGGAGAGAATGGAGTGTAGACAAGATGACGGGGCAGGACCATAACCTGACCCGGACTGCTTAGCTGTGCGCACACCTCTTGTCTTGTATTTAAACCTCAACTTCACGTTAGGACCCCTGCGATGGACTTGGAGTATGTCCTCATTCTTCCCAATGTGGCCACCTTGAATAATATTCCTTTTCTTCTTTCCTCTCTTAGCTGTGACTTGAATTGGACTATTGAAGATACGGTGCCCATCCTCCTTTGTTCAGGACTAGACTCAGGGTTCAGGCTCTGACCCCTAGCTCTAGTAACTACTCTGCAGTTGAGCTCTGGAAACTAAGACTCTCTTCACAGGTCTTGGCAACGTGTGAGGCCTGAAAGAGGAGTCCAACCTCACATAGGGCTCAGTCTGACTCAGGAATTAACGAGTTTTCCATTCTGAACAGTGAAAAGGAAATCAAAGGAAGATATTCCTGGGTGGCATTTGAAAGGGATATGAAATTGAAATGTCAGTGTCCATAAATAAAGGTTTATCAGAACCAAACATTGTTTACAGCTACAGGACTCGCTCCCTGCAGCAGCTCTTCACCCCCTCCCCCTCCATCCCCCCCCCCTTCTTGATTCACAGCTTCTGACAAATCCCTACTGAAAGCCTCTTAAACCTGATATTATTGAGGAGAAAAGTCCAGTTAAAGCAAGCTGTATATTGGGGTGCACCAGGGACTGGACAATTGGCTGCCTCACCCTAAGTCCCTACTTATAGAAGAGATAAGGTGTTCACTGGGGCGAGATGGTTGGCGATCATACATTGTTATAAGGATACGATAAAAAGGGGAGGAACTAAGGCAAGGATATGCATCAGGTGAATAGGGGTTACACACAGTTTACATCAGACCCGAGAAACAGGAACTTACTCTTAATTACAAATAGAAACCTTATTTAGCAAGGGCTTAACACAAGACAAACAAGAACTTTTTCTTTAACTAGGATTTAACACGGGGCAAACAGGAATGTCTCTTTTAACTGTCTGAGCAGCAAACAGAACTCTGAGCCTGCAAGGTATGTTTTCTTGTGTTGGTTTCCCATTAACTTGGGAGGTATTTGTTCCTGTTTTGTTTCACGAGCTACCTGTACATCTCTGACTCTCTAACATTCCTCAGGTGGCCTGGATTCTAGGAGGATGACAGATATCACCCTTAATTCCCCCAAGAAAGTTTACAGACCCCAGGTCACCATACTCCAGGATATTTGAGGCTTAGTGGTGGTGGCACACCCCACATCCATATAATTGGCTTAGTTAAATATGCAGCTCCACCCCGCTGTCCTCAGTCTTAGTCTTTTCTGGAAAGTCCTTCAGCTCTCTCTGACACCCAGAAATCTGGGACAGCCTGACTGCAGGTTGATGTGACCAGTCATCAACCACATGGTGCAAGGAAACTTCCCCTTTCCTCTGAGACCCTTAGGGAGGGACCATTCCCTCAGTCACCCAGCCTCACTTCCTCTGAGACTTCTAGGAAGGGACAATTCCAGCACACCCGCCTCCTCACTTCCTGCACACTTTTATGCATCCGGCTGTCACTCTGTATGTGGGATTGATAACTTTCAACAAATCTCCTACCCCAAAGGCCACCTAAGTATCTCCAAACCCTAAACCTTTCACTGTCTACCAGCATGGAGCAAGTGTATTGTTTAGTACCGGACTTATTATAGAGAACATTTGCCAACTTCAGAACTAAGACGTTCTGAAACAGATTCTCTTTCTATTCGAGGAACGATTTCCTCCTCTTGTTGATAGATCGACTCAATCAACAGAAGAGGAGGCGCCCCCGGCTTGTGTCTAGGACTGTTCTCGGCAGCTGTGTGCATGGCTCTGACTAGGACAGTTGCAGTGTGCGGTCAGAGGAATGAGAGCCCAGAGCAAGGGCTTTGCCGAGCCGCTCCCCATGGTTCACACTCATTTGCAGGACCATACCATCCGTTTTAATTCATCAGCAGAGCCATGGAGCCTGTGATTTTTGCCACTTAGGAGAAGATAAGAGTGTGGATGAGCCAGCCTTTGTCTGTCAAATTCGATGTGGCTGGACAAGCCAGGGTTGCAAAGCTCAGAATAAGAGAGTGCAGAATGATTGGTGAGCACAGACCGGTGAAAAGACTCAGGGGCTCCTGGGCTGTGAGAGTTCCTGAACTGAGTGGGAGGGTCAGGAAATGCTTGAGGAAATGCTTTTCTAACTCACCTTGAATGCTGCTTACTAATAACTAAATATCAATAAATACTAATAAATAAAAAGACTGAATAAAATAATAAATATTAATGAAAGAAATAAAATTAATACTAATAAATAACCTTTTTTCTAGGACCACTTTTGCTCATTGACCTAAGAATTCCCCTGCCCCGACCAATGAGCACAATCTGTGACAAGCTCTGTTTTAGTCAGGGGGTTCTCTAGAGGAACAGAAGTGATTGAATTGATACATATATAGGAACAGGAGTGACAGAATGTGTGTGTGTGTGTGTGTGTGTATGTTGGTTTGAAAGAAAATGGCCCCCATAGGGAGTGGCACTATTAGGAGGTGTGGCTTGCTGGAGTAGGTATAGCCTTTTTGGAGGAAGTGTGTCACTGTGGAGGTGGGCTTTGAGTCCCATATATGCTTAAGCCACACCCAGTGTGACAGTTCACTTCCTATTGCCCAGAATCAAGATTTAGAACTCTCAGCTTCTTCTCCAGCACCATGTCTGCCTGCACACCACCATGTCCCATCATGATGATAATGGACTGAACCTCTGAATGTAAGACACTCATTAAATGTTTTCTTTTATAAGAGTAATAGAAACAGCAATAGAAACCTTAACTAAAACTATCTGTCTATCTATCTATCTATCTATCTATCTATCTATCTATCTATCTATCTATCTAGTCTTAGTTAATACATACATACATAGATATACATATATATATGATTGATTAGAGTGGCTTACAGGCTGTGGGCAATTAGTCCAACTATGGCTGTCTCTCAATGGAAAGTCTAAGAATCAGTTCAGTCCACAAGGCTGGATGTCTCAGCTGGTCTTCAATACACATTGACCTCTCAAAGACATAGGCTCTAATGCCAGTGAAGGAGTGGACTTGCTAGCAGCAGTGAGAGCAAGCAGGCAAAGAGCAACAGCTTCCTTCTTCCAGGCCCTTTATGTAGGCCACCACCAGAAGGTGTGGCCCAGATATAGGGTGAGTCTTCCCACCTCCAATGATCCAGTTAAGTAAAAAAAAAATCCCTCACAGGTGTGCCTAGGCAGGACCTTGGGTTGTTAGTTAATTTCAGATGTAGTCAAGCTGACAACTAAGAATAGTTATCCTAGGTTCACTCTGAGACTTCATTGCTTCATAGACATGCCCACTCTATCTGTGACCCACACAGTACCCCATCAGAGCCAGTATGTGATATGTTTTCCCCCTAACTGACTACATCTGCTGAGAAAACTGACGGCTCACTCTAGTGTTTCCAGCAGGATGTAGCTCAGTGTGTGCAGCAGAATAGATGATTAAAGGTCACTGAGGAATGAATGGGTGATCGGGGCATACATTAGGTTTTTTTTTTAGAAAATTGTGTAACCAGACGGAAGCTAAAGGACAGCTTTATTACAAGTTTAAAGTAAAAATCCCAGGGCAGGCAGGCTGTCACCTCAGCAGCTGTCCCAGAGGAAGATGGAGAGAAGGAAAGCTATGATGGGGTGGGGGGGGGAGCTTAGAGAAAACGTAAGGAAGCTCAGGATTTGGGGGATGCCCAAAGTGTTAGGGGCTAGGAAAGAGATGCGGGGGTTGGGGGGGAGGAAAAGTTATACTTTTCTGACTTATGACCCTACTTGCTGCAACCTAGTCTGCCACTGTGCTAGAGGTGGGAATTCTGGGAAGGAAAAGGAGTGTATCTCATTAAAAGACTAATTATTCCACCCATCTCTTTAGCATGGCTTAAGGTAAGCCTGCCTTCCCAGGGGTGAGCTTTTGGCCAAGTGATTGACTTGCTGTAACTGGAATGTCAGGTCCCTACCCAAGTCATAGAGTTTGTTCTCTTGACCGGGAATTTTTTTTTCTTAATGGGCCTTTATTGCTGCTGTAACACCATTTAACAGGATCTGAGGAACACCAGGGAATGGTGGGCCACTGGTATTATTCATAACAGATCCCCACACTTGTCCACCGCAGCTCACCCTTGGCCTCCTTGTGTATCATGTGAGTGATGCCTGCTTATCGCCAGGGGCATTTGAATAATCTGGGCCAGGTCCATGGCCTGGATGACTTCTGGCAGCATTACCCCTGCCATGGCTCACCCATCTGCAAGTCCCGAATTCCATCTACAGACCCCCTTACCACATTTTTATGTCTTGCTTTTTACAAGTTAGACATATTGCCTGTGATTTACTTAGTAATGGCATTCCGCCCCCCGCTTGGCTGGTCTCACTTATCTTTCTGCAGGGAGTTGTAATATCACCTCCCGTGAAAAACCTGCCACGGCTCTCTTGAACTGAGGTTGTGTCTTCTACCCACACTCTGTCCGTGTGCCTGTGACTTTGCACTTACTATATGAGTGTCACTGTATTTGTGACAGACTGCAGTCAGGACCTCTTTCGGGACAGCATCTTATTATGTCCCAGGGAAAGAAATGTGACGCTATGATATACAAATAGGATCTGCTGCAACAAAGGCTTCTGGGAGGAACTTAACTGAGGAGGGAAAATCCACCATGAACATGAGTGGTACCATCCCAAGTGCCAGCCTCACACTCAATAAAGAAGGAAAAAAAAAAGGAAGGGAGCCAATCAGGCACTGGTGTCATAGGAAACTTCAGCTGTCAACTTGACACAAACATAGAGTCACCTGGGAAGAGGGACGATGAATTGAGGAACGGCCTCCATCAGATTGGCCTATGAGCATACCTGTGGGGCATTCTCTTGAATAATGACTAATGTGGGAGAGCCCAGCCTGCTGTGGGTGGTGCCATCTCTAGGCAGGTGAACTTGGGCTGTATAAGGAAATAGGCTGAACAAGCCCCTGGGAGCAAGCCATTAAGTGGTGGTTCCCCATAGTCTCTGCTTCGAGTTCTTGTTTTGAATTCCTGCCTTGGTTTCATTCGGTGACAGACTGTATTCTGTTAGCCAAAATGAACCTTTTACGTCCCAGGTTGCACTGGTCAACAGAAAGCAAACTAAAGCCGTCATTTCTCACTCTCTACTTCCTGGCGATAAACATGCGAGCAAGCAGTCTCACGCTCCCACTGCCATGCCTTCCTTCCATTGGGGACTATATCTTCAAACCATGAGCCTCAATAAATACTTAAGTCTCTTCTTGTCGGGTATTTATTTGGTTACAACAAATAGGAAAAGTAGCCAATACCATCCCTAAGCTCTCTATCCACATCTCTGGGAGAATGTAACGAGCCATGTGAATGATGAGCATTTGATTCATGATTCTTTTGGAGTAAGCATTCCGGTATCCACCAGAGCAGGGGCAGACCGAGGAAAGTGGATGGGGCCTGCTGCCATGGTGACTGTCTGCATGCACCGATGGATGGATATATGGAAGAATACAGTGTTAAAACAACGACTCTATAGGGGATAGGTGCGAACATACTTTTCCAAGCTAAATTTGAGTCACAGGTAAGTTGGCTTTTAGCAAGAGACAGGAAACCCAATAATCTAAATTCTCAGAACATTTCAGCCAGGATAAAATCTGAGGCACCATATCCGAGGGACTCTTCATAGCAAATGAAGCATCTCATCTAACCCGGCCACTGTAACCTTTGTAGTGCAATGGCGATCTTTCATTGGTCCCTCCCTGCTCTGGTTCCAGACAGCTGAGCAAGAACCTGAAGGGATGTCACACAGGAAATGCCTTGAAGGAAGCACCTGTCATATTCCTCAAATAAGGGAAATGCTAATGACCCTGTGGACTGGTGGCCATTGACTGATGCCATTTGTCTTCCCTGGGCTGATGGAAAGTGGATCTCATTTTAAGCCATCTTCTTGACTCCTTGTACCTTCATCCTTCTGCAGAGATTTTTGGAGAGCAGGCTGAGCTGGAGTTTGGAAAGGGCAAAATGTACGTTTGGTTTAATGGTGTGACACCAACCAAGGAAAACAAGACTATAAAACAAAGAGACACTGTCTCCTAGTGCTTGTCTCCAGGGTCAGGAATGAAAGGATTGGGGACGAAGAGGGGAGGGGGGGGGATCAGGTTATAAAAGCGTGATCTCAATGTAGTCTTCCTCAGCTTGATTAAAGGAGTTTGTGGCTTTGACAAACTGAGCTCAGACCTCTTACATCACTGAAACCAGATGGTAGATCTGTCAGTCAGGTTTCCCTAAAAGGAGAGAGAACCAACGAAGGGATATGCGCATTAAGAGGGAATTTGTTGGATTTTTTAAGGGATGTAGTCTGGGTGGTCCAACAATGGCTGCCATACTGGAGATGTCTAGTAGTAGTTCAGCCCATGGAGTCCCAATCTGGTGCTGAAGGCCCGGGGGTGGGGTGGGGTGGGTTCCTGGAGAGCTGCTGGTATTCTATATTCTGATATTCTGACATAAAGAAGTTAATCATAATGTCAGTGAGGGTTCATGTTTTGTGGGCATGGAGTCCATCATGCAAGGGCAGGCTTAGCAGAAGGGAACACCATCCTGAAGATCCCGGGGATCCACTTCAGTGAGACAGACATCTGAACTGAGGGACTGTGAGGCACACCTTTGCTGTCCGAAGCCTCCTCACAGTTCTTCAGGGAGTTGGCTCTTGGGTCAAATCCTGTGCCTGCTGCTCTGTCTGTACCAGTGTCCTTAAGCAGATTTGGAGTGGAAGCTACTTACAGCTACCTCCACTGAGCAGCAGCCAACACATCGGGGACCTGGACCTCAGAAACTTCCCATGATGCTCCACACGGTGTGGCTGGGGCAGTCCTCACACCTAGGCCTGTCTCTCCAAGCCTGTGGCCATACCATAGCCGGAAGAACACAGAGGCTGCTCACTTGCTTAATGGTGGGTATAAAAATTTCACGAGTCTGCGTAAAAGCTCTCCATAATGACAAAACACTGCACAAATGAATTTTCATGATTGATCGTAAACCGGTTGGAGAATGACAGGCGAGCTAATCAACCAATTGTCTCCATCTAACGGGAACACCAAACATTTCATTTTTATTTATTTCTTCACATTTGACTAATTT